TTTTCTTTTAGATTTCAGAAAAAATTATATTTCAAATTTGATATCAAGTATATTGATTGAAAATAATTTTAATCGCAGACATTCAATACTGTTCTGTGTCTGTAATATCAATAAGACTGAGGTTAAAATGTGAGGTTAAAATATTGAGATTAGTCAAGCATAATCCTTTTATTATTCATCATAAACTACAATATGAAGATATACTAGTAAATTACCCCGTGCTTCGCACGGGCTCGGTTTACATGTATGCGTTTGTAATCTTGTGTGGTTTTCCTACCTTCAAATCTATTTGAGGAGATTTTTTGTTGTTGGATCGAGGTAGGTTGGGTTTTATCATTGTTTGATTTGTGTTTTTTTACATTCTTTAAACGTTTTTTCACAGTATAGCATATGTTTTTTATTAAATAGTTGAAGATGGAGCGTGTATACTTTTTACATTTGCCATAATTTATTATAACTATGTATGAAGTAGTTAACACAATCTTCCTTTTTTTTTTAACTTTGTAAAAATCAAATCGGTAATCTTATACATTTAGGGCAGAAGAAGTACATACATTTTTTGGTTTTATTTTTAGCGTGTAATGGAAAAGATAATTTTAACATTCAAATTAAATGACTCTGAAGTTAGAATATAAATTTTAACATAAATTTTTAAACAACTTTGGAGTTATAATATAAATTTTAACATTATTTGAATAAATTTATATGTTGAATTAAAAGATAATTTTGTTTTTTGTAATTTCCTAATAATTATATTGTTTGTGCTATATTAATATTTTAAAGTACTCCGGTATTAGATATGATGGTTTTTTTTATATCAAAGTTGTAGATTTAATAATGATTCACATGTATAAGAATCTTAAGAAACTTTTGGTTTTTAAAAGCAATAAAGGGAAAATGGTCAATTACTTTGTTTAAAAAGTTTATTTGAATTTGTTGGTTTTAAATTAATGAAGTTTATATAACCTTTATAGATAAATAAAATACTTATACATATTAATAGTGGTTGGGAAGGGATAATCTTACAACAAAAACCCCTACAACATTTCTTACCATACTATAATTGGGGTAGCTATGATGTTTCAGTTGAAAAATTAGCAATGGATTCATATTCAAGTGGAACCAAGCATATCAACACCTTAGGAGCACAAAACATCATGTAATTCATGTGAAAAAGTGTAGATTTTTTTTTTTTTAAAAAACATGAATAAATCTTGATTTTGAACATATAGTACTAAAATTTCACAAAAACAGCAAATGAAGCACAACGTTTAGTATCAATATGAACATAAATTCATAAACTCATCAACCCATTAAGCCTTGACTTCTTAAAAATTTAGCGCACACACTAACATTTTATAAATAATACATTATTTATTAATATGACTTCAAAAACAAAACAAAATCCTTTGCACTCTCAATATTAAACCAAGTTAACCAATGGAATCTGAGGACCATAGTTTGCTGCACTTTTGGAATGCATGTACTAAGATACACACACGCCTTTTACTAAGCTCGCATTTAAGACACCAGACCTTGTGTTCTAAAGATCAACAACATACCTTCCCTGATTTTTTGCAAAATAACATATACTCTTTGTCTTCATTGGCAGTCAAATGTACCAATTGCACCCTAATCAAATGCTAGGCTGCAAGCTTCATGAAATTATCCAATAATATCAGTGATGTTGTCACAGGCATAATTTTCAGTGTTTAGATTTGAATTAAAAAGAACAGATTAGGGAACAGAAATTCTTTGGTTGAAGAGAGACCAAAACCTCAAGAGCCTCTTTTGATTTGCGTTGTTCTTTATGGGATCCTCTTCATGAGTACTTTAGCTACAATAAAACTTTGGGTATATGCTGGCTTTTAAATACAGATTATTGGAGAAAGGAGAATTCAGAAATGGTAGACCTGCTTTTATATTATATCAAATTGCTGGTTTTGCCGATTTGATTATCGCCAAGGAACCTGAAGTGCATTGAAGGTTGAAGACTGAAGTGAGCAATCAAGGAAAACGACAATAACCGATATTTTGGATATGTATTTAATAAAATAAACCTGCTGATATTTATTTTCTAGTAGTATAATTTGATCACTGAAGTCAAGCCTAGTATCATTCGCCATCTTCTGAACCTATAGTCAAGGATATCTTTAGCTTGTCAGATAAAACAAACACAATTTAAAACCAATACGAAAATTGATATACACATGTGAGACATATAGTTAATAAAAGAAACATACATTAATTATCTTCTTCTGTAGGTCAATAAGTGGTTTCTCAAAGTTCAATATGATGGGCTTTGGCTTCTCTTTCAAGGGCTTGAATGGAGATGGATATCAAAGCACTCCTCCTTAACATCTGGATCAATTTCCTGTGGTTGTGGACATGGATAGTCATGTTTTTTGCTTCCTAAGCAATGTAGCAACTACAAAATCTCTATTATCAGATCCCAACCTTACCCTATCCGGGGCCTTAAATGGCACATCACAAACAAAATCTCATAGATATTTTTTCTCTGAGGAATGCCACACAAAAATATTAAACATAACAGATATTAGATAGTACACTGTTATAGCAAGTACATGTCGACAAAATATATCATGTTTGAACCATGTCTATATGTCATGAAAATTCGAAAAAGTTTCACATTGGTTGCTGAGACCTAACATAACCCTCCTCTTTTATCTGAGCTTGGGACCAGTAATGTAACATACTTACATAGGCAAAGTTACATAAGAACACAACCCAACCCAAAAACATAGTACATTAATGATAGAAATTTTCTCATTTTCGAAGATACAGGATGGAAATTATCCAGATTCTTGCAATTACACATCAAACCTAGAGCACACCTACAAATATAGGCACCTAAAATCATTCATTTCACTCTTAGGCCCCGTTTGGTACACGGAATTCAAACTATGGAATTGGAATTGAGGACTTTAATTCCAATTCTGGTGTTTGGTAGCACAAAAATTATGTGGATTTGGAATTAATAGTGCAAAAAATGAATTGCAATTCCATCAATTCCATATATCAAACGGACCCTCAAAGGAATACAACCAAGCTAACATTGCAAATAAGAAATGAGGATTTTAGCAGCTTGGGGTCAACCATCACCATCACATGCTTCTACATTACCACCCACTTGCAGTTACATTAAAAAAATCATTTTAGAATGTGATTCCAACATTTAACTCAAAGTTGGAAAAAATAGTTGGGAGGAACGATATGAATGCAGAATTAAACTAATGGATCAGCATCCATGTTTGCTTCATTTTATAATTTAAGACACCTAGCAAGAATTGAACAATGGCGAAAACTGAATCTTTGACAAATTTGAGACAAAAAATCTATAATATAGCACAATATGAATCAAGAATTGAACAATGAAAAAATCAAATCTTTAACACAATTCAAACAAAAATTTGTAAACATTCAATCTTTTACCATTTTCAACAGGAATACAATATTTTACCATTTTTCGCAGTGAATCACTCTGTGCAGATACCATAACTCCCTGTATTTCTGAAAACGAAGATTAAACTTTGTGGGAGGTAATATACATCGCTAGCGTTACAGAAAAAAATAATACACCACCAGCGTTACAGAAAAAAATAATTGTCCATCATGAAATCGTCGACTTCTGAATTCTCACCTGGGAAAACGGCTGAAATTGAAAGGCGCAGCAACTGGAAACCATGAACAGTGTCAGAGGAAGAGGAAGGGAGACGATAGATCGGAAGAAATCCCACAATGTATTGGCGTGGCATTTTTAGGAACACATAAGCAAAAAATAATCTACATCACCAGCCAACTCATTGTACACTTGTCATCTCCACAACTAATAAACCCTACTTTATATATAATATATATATATATATATATATATATATATATATATATATATATATATATATATGATGATGATGATATGATTTGGGACAAAAACGCTATTATTCTCTTCGACTAAAAAACTATGAAGAACACAAAAGAAGAATTATTCTCACATTTTTTTTCATTAAAAAAATTAGGTTTTTCTCTTCTCATTTTCTGTTAATAAAGTTTTTTTCATTACATAGATTATCTTTTTTACTAGCCCAACACAAAAAATTGTTTTCTTTATGGTCTTCCTGGCAAATTCTTTCTTAGTCTGAATGCTTATGTCATTTTATGGATTTTAGAGTATTTATATCATTAAAGAAATGATTTTTTTGAAAAAAAAAATCTATTTGCATGAAAATATAAGAAAATTTATTTTTCAAAATCAAAACTCTCATGTTTTTCGGGACGGAGGGAGTATATCTTAATCCCTTGAACTTGAAATTACATTAACATTTATCAAATATTTAAATATCAAGAAACACACTGGAAACAGGGAACAAAATAAATATTCAAATATTAAGAAACAAATCTTGAAATTGAATAATTAAAATTTACATATAACACCTAGATAATGAGAGAAAATCTAAATATTAGATGAAGAAGAAAAAGAGCTCAAGATTTGAATCCACCTCTGCCGACTGCCCTTCTGCCTTCTAGAGTTCTGCACATCTGCGATCTGGCGACTGCCCTTCGAGCTATAAGCCTCTTTTCTTTTCTTTTTCTGTTCAATTACTTCCATCCTTTTTCTTTTTTGGTGGCAATTGGGCCACTGGGCCTTGGACTGTTGGGCTTGGTCACAGGAAATTTTTAAACCCATTTTAAAGTTAACAAAACGACGTCGTTGTTTTATGTTCCTTTTCTCGGCAATTGCTTCTTCCTATCTTCACCTTCTTCATCGATCGGCTGCTGGAGTTCCATGGGATGCTGCGACAGATCTGGGGGGGCAAATCCGGCCTCCCATCGCCGATTTGGTACCCTAATACTATTTCGCCGGAATTTCGCCGGGGGCACTTGCCCAGGCATGCCCCCCCCCCTTCCTCCGCCCCTGATAGACGACTCTTCTTTCTAATCTTATTTTCTATTCTTTCTAGTTTTGATTTTTTATTAACCCCAAACCCCAAACATTGTTAGCGGCCCATCTCCATCACTAATTCGTAGCAAGCCAGCCCGGCCCGTCTCCAAGTCCAATAGATCTTCTCCCCGCGCCGATTATTTCCCGGTCGTCATCTCCGGCTTAGATGACTTCTTCTCTCGCATTCCGATCACATCATCGCATCTTCTTATCTATCACATTTCGCCGACCAGAAACCAATTTCTCCTCCGGGAATCACAATGGCTCCCTGGATTCAACAACCACGGCGGAATCCATCCGGATTCGCGATGTATTTGGCCCGTACCTAGCAGCATCGGATACTCTGTCCTTCTACAGAAATGAGTTGAAATCAGGCTTGAAATTCATTTTTCCTATGGCATTTACAAGGGTGGGACGCCATGGAAAACTGTGAAGCTCTTCAAGGAAATGAAGAAGAAAAGTGATTGAACTGAGTTTGGAACCAAACGTGGCAACATAATTATAAAGCTTTTGTGTGAAAATACATGAGGGTTGAGGATGCACACAAGGTGTTAGATGGAATGTGAGTTTTGAATGATGTCTTGAAAAGCCAAGCGAGGAGTTAAACGGAGGGTGGATACATGTGTGATGCTAATGAGTAAGTTTGGATCCATTTTCATATAGTGAATTGGCTGAAATTGTTCAATATCTTGTGGATATAAATCTTTTGGTTACATACATTGCAGCAAAATGAGTCAAAAAGTGCTTAGTTTGCTTGTTGTAAGTTGATTGTGGCCACTAGATAAAACAGGAAAACATAACCTGAGTTTTCTTTAGTACAATATTGAAGTTCATGTCGCAATATATTACATATAGTGCTAGAACACTATACAAGTAAACATATCTAGTGGAGAATAAGTGTAATGGGCTATTTTGCCTCCCCATCTGCATATGTATCAGTCCTTGGAAGACTCTAACCAATCAAGTTGCACAGGTTTTGAAGAAAAAGGACGAGTAGCACTTGGCTGCATCCAACAACAACTCAGTTGTTCTTTCGTCCCGAAAAGATCTTTTTTAGAAAAGTTGCTACCGAATGTCTTGAACAAACCCGTCTCAAGACAATAGAACACAATATATTGTTTGTGGAATCTTGGGAGGTAAATCTTGTTCTCCATCCCCTCTCTAACTTTCTTGCCCGCAAATGATGAACGCCCGCTAACAAACAACATGTATTCACCCAAACACTCCACTTTTTTCCATTCCATTTTGTCCCTCTCGTCCAATTCAAGGACACAAATGTGTTTCCCCATGTAAGACATATACACTGCCATTAACTTCCCTTCGCACTGCACCAAGTAGCTATCATAGGTCTTGCCAAGCTCGGGAGGTAGACCCGAAACCTCGTGAACTTTCCAAGTTCGCCCTTCGAAGTCGAACACCCTCAAGTTGCCTTCGATGCCCAAGACATACAACTTGCCATTGTGGAGAGCTGGAGCGCATTGGGATCTAAATCTTAAGTCGTTATCATTTACGTCATAGAAATCCTCCCAAGTCTCTTTGCGGCGACAGATGGTCAAAATATGATTCCAATCATCACTATCAAGACCGAAAACAACACAATCCGGAGAGGTTGGGTCGGACAAGAAGATTCCGCTCATATATATTTCCTTCGGTCTGTCGGGCAAGTCCACTCTCTCATTGGTAAAGGGGTTGACCAAGAAAGTTTCTTGAAATCCTTTGCAAAATAGAAGCCACCCGTTGTTGGAATGTGCCAAACTTGAAAGGGAGAGCTCGGGGATGTCGATGCAGTGTGGGCCGTGGCCGTAAACCGGGTGAAACAACTTCAACACGGTGCTAGTGTAAGTGTCTTTGTGAACAAGCCATTGAGATTGTACAACGGGAAAGGCGAGGGGGTTGTGGTCCTTAGGATCTTCAAGTGAGTCCCAAGTTTTGCAGACTTTGTGAAAGCTTTTGGCATCATCAAGACAGAGGTGTTGTAATATTTGTGTCAAAAGCTCTCTTGGAAGACTTTCCCATGCCCTATAATGGTTCCCATCAACTTCTTCTTCTTCCTGCTCTTTGTCCTTCCAAATCCTCCATGTTCACATAATCTTCCATCTAACAACGCCAAAGAACACTCAAATCTCAATGAGAAAAAGGTGTGTTAAAACACACTTCAATCCTGTATGTTGCACATATTTTTCAAATAATCTCATCCAACTTGCGAAGCCCATACACGACAGTAACAAAACCAAATAAAACCACCAACAGTGTGTGTGTGTGTGTGTGTGTGTTTACTGGACTGGAATTGGCATAGGCACAAATCGATTTTAATGAGGACTTATTTCTTCACATAAACACATTATTGCATGTATACATCTATACATGAGTTTGGATTGATATATATGAAATTAATTAGCCGGGGGGGGGGAGTGTATATACTCTACCTCGAAAGAAGAAATTGATTTTGCCTCAGATATCCGAATGAAAGATGAATAAGAAGGTTATACCTTTTTAATTTCCAAGCTCACTTTTATCTTTGGCAATGGGGAACTATATATAGAGGAATTGATTAGCTACTCCGTATTAAATATGGGGGTACAGTATTAGTATTAGTAATTAATTGATCAAAAAGTTGGAAATAGGCAGCTTCCTCTTTCTCTCCAAATCACAAGAGGAATTCATCTCTACCTTCCAAAATTCTAATTATATATGATGGTATTTAGTAATTAGTACCTCTTTTCATCCTAAAATTAACTTAGTATTTTGATTTTCGCGGTCAATGTTTTTGAACTTTGACCCCATATTACGGAAAATCAAGCATAGTTTTGTAATACTCCCTATGTCCCGAATTAATTTTCTTGATTAGTTTGGCACAAACTAAAAAAAATGAAATTAGTGAGTCTGAGTCACAAAAAGATTTCCAAAATAGAGAGTCACAAAAAACTAAAATAAGAGTAAAACATTAAGAATATATAAAAATAAGAGTTCTATGTTTTTATTTTTGAAATAGGGTTTAAATTACATCTCATTGCCAATCACAACCATATACATTACAAAAAAATATATAAAATATTCATATATAGCACCAAATTATCACAGTGCGAATTCTTATTTGGAGAATAAAAATATGAAATTATTATTTTGGTACTTTCTCTATATATGTTTATCCCTATTGGGGGAATTTCTTTTTTTTTGGACATCGCGAATAAGAAATCAAAAAGATTAATTTGAAAATAATGGAGTATAAGATATTTTTGGGCTTTTTTCTGAAGAGGTACCTAACTTTGCGTCTTGTAACAAAAAGATACCTCATAATCAACTTCTAACAAAAATGTACCCATCTTTAAAAAATGTAACAAAAGGGTACCCTTGCCGGAATTTTAAGAATACGGTCGATGAGTACATAGTGGGCGGTCTACTTGGCTTCTTAGTGTACATGCGACATTCTATATGACTTCCAAATTAACTTGAAATTTTTTCTATACATGATCAACTTTGTACTTGACACATATAAAATAAAGTTTATTTTTTAAAAAAAATTATATTTTATTTATACAATATCATTTTTAATATTTATAAAATATGTTAAATCAAACTAGCAATTACTTTTTAAATAAGTGTCGCTTTTGTAATTTAAAGAACAGAGTTTCTAATTTATTTAAATTTTAAAATATTTACAATCTTTTGGAGTTAGAATTTTAATAGATAAATAAACACAATGTTGTATGAACGTCTTTTGTAAAAAAATACTTAGATATTATATAAAAACTCATTACAAGTATCAACAATACTCGATAATGATGATGATGATAGTCGTAGTAGTAGTAATAATAATAATGATAAGTAATTTTTAAAATTTAAAATTTAAAAAATTTCTAATAAATCTTTAAAAACAAATAACAGACATGTATCAAAATGTTATTGCTCTTTATGTTTAAAATACAGAGTATCTTGTAAATTATAAACTAGTGCATCACCCGTGCGATGCACAGGAAAGTATTAATCTTCAAATCAAGATGATTATTACAAATGTTTTAAATTATTTTGTGATTAGTTTTAAATGATATAATATCTTAAAATATAGATAGTAGTAAATTTGATATGTAACATTGTTCAACATAAAAAAAATGTACATATGTATGCTCATACAATTATAAATATTATTACATCTTTCATTTCAAATAATACAAACAATAAAAGAGAGAGCTTTTAGAGCATACTACATATTTTATATTACCAATGATATGCCAATCAAGGATGCCTTTTTTTGCTAAATAAACACATAATTTATCAAAAAATTGCAAGAAATATATCTTTCAAGACACGATGTGACTTTTACGTCATAAAATACTCCCTTCGTCTCACAATAGATGTCCTTGTATTTAAATTCACAGTAACCTATATTTATTTGTAATTTTTTATTGATTATTTGATAAAATAAAATATTATTATGAACATTGTTTTGTATTTTTAATACATAAATAAACACAATGTTGTATGAACGTCTTTTGTAAAAAATACTTAGATATTATATAAAAGCTCATTACAAGTTAGTCATGTATAAGAAAAGTTACAAGTTTATTTAGAACTTAGAAGTCAAATGGAATGTCGCATGCACTCTAGGAAGGCAAGTGGAACACCTCATGTGCACTCACCAGCCGGATGCATTTGTACCCTTTTGCTACATTTTTAAAGATGTGATACCTTTTATTACAAATTGAAGATGGAGTACCTTTTTGTTATAACACGCAAAGTTAGGGTGCCTTCAATGTAAAAAAAATAAATATTTTGTCATTTTTCATTAACAAAAATAATACCTTTAATCCCAAAATTTTTTAATGTTTTTAACATACATTACTAAAATATTTCTTACTTTATTCGTGATCTTTGTAAGATCAACTCCATCGATTGTGCATATTGTAAATTATACTCATTATGCAATATCATGTTCATTTTTTAGTCCTCCAACGAATTGTGTAAATCAGTAAATGTAAGGCTAAAATGCACTATAGTGCAAAAAGACATTCTCACCTCCTATTTATACACTTTGATGTAGATAGTGTAAAACAATTAAAAAAATTATGGAGCTCTCTTTTTTTCATTTTGGTGTAGCCAACTATAATTTCATTTTGATTTGCAACTTCGGATTTAATTTGTAGATTTGTTTTTTTGTAGATTAAAAATTAATACATGAATTAAATATTAAATAACATAAAAGTGTATTATATAGAATATATGATTGGAGTAAGTATAACAAAAGAGAAAGTATAAAACACTGTTGACAGTGTAAAATAACATTTACACTATCACTTTTTTCACTATGCGTTGGAGTTGCTCTAATAAGTTAACACGTGACTTGAACATTTCTCTCTTATCTATAAACAAACTTCAACATCACACTCTTCAATTTTTAAAAAAAAATTAAGTTGAATCTTTTAGTGAAGTTTTGAAAATTTTAGAGAGTTTAATGGATTATTGAAGAAAAAAAAAGAGAGAGTGACATTTCTCAAAAAACATAGTACTTTAGTAACACTCTTGAGTATTTTAAAAAGATCAATGTCATTATTGGGAAAATTACTCTTTCTATTCCTGATTATTTGTTGACTTTTAACCTTTTTTGGATCAAAGCTGATAAATGTTGACCTCAAATTAAATAAAAATGATATTAGATGTTCATACAAATATAATTTTTTTGGATTTATTATCGGGCCGGTTCTAGTGACACTGGAGAACGGTGCCACTAGCGGTGCCACTGCCTTTTTAGAACAACCCCACCGTAAGCCCTCACAAAATGTGCGGCTATTATGCAAACACATTTTGTGTAAGCCCCACAACGGCAAGAGCAATCAAAACTAATCAGTTACTGCATTCAAAAAAAGAAAAAAAACTCAGTTACTGTATATTAAAGAGATTCTTGAAATTCTTTCAAATGTTATGATAAGTCACTTTTGAATTTGGAGGTCACTTCCACTTTAAAAAAGAAAAAAATAAAGAATAAATGTCTTGAACAAAATCAACTCTTATTAACAAGAGAATATTTAATTGGCCATGGGCATTACCCAATACCCACGGGTGATGTTTGGAATAACACTGGGACAAACCAAACGAGTGGTGATGGTCTTCTCTTCCATGTCATACACATACAAACTCGTCATTCCAACTTCAAACGCAAGAATGATGTAAATTGTATTCTCTTTAACACACTCATCACCATTAGCATTTGATCCTCCATTATTAACGGTGCTACACGAGAAAGAATTCACACTACTGATGAAAAACACCCGGTGGCCACCCAAATCATTCACTCTTGTCCATTTCAAGCTCTGAAAATCCAACTTGTACACCCAAACGTCAATGATTTTGTTTTCGTCCTCCATGCCATGCCATGGAAAAGAATGACCAGGTAGAGGTGGCTTTGAGATTCAACCAAGTAGTGTGTCCCGAACCACATATTTCTCACGAGCAGAGGATAAGGATAAGGGACCTTTCCAATTCTCTTTTCTCCTGGTAACAACAATGGCCTCGCTTCCATTCGCCCCTCTTCATCAAAACTCATCTCCATGAGCTTTTTATGCTTTAGATTAAGGCAATAAATATTGGTCCCACAAAGGACAGAGAAAGTAAATGGCCGAGGGCGATCAAACTCTTGTTCCCTCCACTGAGATTTTTTTGCGTCGCCCCCTAGACGACACCACATGGCGTGTTCCCCAAAACGTTGGAAGAACGCGACTACACACGTGGGGTCGCCTGGAGGCGCGGTTAGGATGCATTGATACTTGGGTGAAAATCCAACATCACTTATCAAGGGTTTTGGCAACGGGGGGAGCTTGATCTTCTCCATGGAGATGGGGTTTAGCAAAAAACAACTCTTGCTTGATTTTGGGTGCAAGTCCAACATGACTAACCAGCCATGAGAGCTGCTGGTGCAGATCTGCGAGTTTGACATGTTTGGCATCCTCCTCTTCTCCCATTTTCCTGTTTCCGCGTCGTAAAAGATCTGTCCCTTGTATTGTTTTTCATAGAAATATACAATCCATGGATACTGATTGCGCGGTGGTGGTGGAAGACGAGCTTTCATCATGCTTCTACCTTGTCACCTGCACCTGCATTGAATTGAAAGAATGCAAATCGAATTCAGAACATGCCCTGCATGCAAATTGAATAAACAACTTTTCCTGGCCTGTCCTTCAAAACATACTCCTTAATTATGTTTCAAAAGAAAGCTCATTTGAAAAGCCAAGAGTGATACTGTTGATGGACAAGAATTGATTCCGGCTTTGCTCAGATATGGGAATGGAAGATAAATAAGAAGGAGCTGTTGAAGAGGAACTATATATACATACTCTACCGTGCACAAATTGATTAGCTTACTCCGTATTAAATATGGGGGTACAGTATTAGTATTAGTAATTAATTGATCAAAAAGTTGGAAATAGGCAGCTTCCTCTTTCTCTCCAAATCACAAGAGGAATTCATCTCTACCTTCCAAAATTCTAATTATATATTATGGTATTTAGCAATTCGTATCTCTTTCTGTCTCTAAAATATTCAAGAGCCTGTTTGGGAATAGCGTTAGAGATTAGTGTTAGCGTTTTGGATAAAAGTTTAACGGTGCAGATTACTTTGAAAACGCTAATGCTAAACGTTGCCCGTACATAGTCTTTTCAAAACGCTAACGCTAATGGCTAAGGCTATTCCGAAACAGGCCCCAAAAATTGCTATCTTTCTCAACTTTTATGTTTTGTCAAGAATATCACTTTCTTTTTCTCTGTTTCAATAATGTCTTGGAACTTTCATAAAATGTTCTAAAATACCATTTAAATATTTTTAAATAAACACAATGCTTTTTCATAGGCAAACCTTTTGTTCCTTTTCTATAATTAAATACCATCTATGTTTATCATTGCGATGGTGGTGAGACATTGCATGTGAGTGAGTGAGATGGTGAGTACAGACAGTCAGTGCTGATGTCGCGCTAAGTGACTGCTGATTTGGAGTGAGCGACGGTGAAGCATTACAGATTGTCTAATAGTAATTCATCGTTTCTGGACTTCACCTTTCTATAAACGAGTGGGGTATGAGGATTGCTTTTACTTTGCATTGATAATCTATTTATTTATTGATCAGAAGAATTAATTTCAAAATAAACAACATGGAGTAATTTGTTCAGTCTGAAATGAAGCAATTAAAACTCAAGAGTTGTTCACCATCAACCAATGATAGATAGCATCCGATTAATAATTGTGACGAAAGCTAAAAGAAACTGGGCAATCCGAGTCCATTGGGCCAAAACAATTCCCGTTTCCATACAATTGGACCTAATTTTTCTGGACCAAATCCAAAAAGCGATCAGACGCAGTTTATTTTAGTCCAACTTATTTTTAAAAAAGATTTCCTAAATGTCCAAACATGGAAGGAAACTATCAAAGTTAATAACCTACCCAAATTAAAGTTCTTGTCATAAATGAGTAATTAAAATAGTATGCCTTCGTGAAAAAAAATGCTTAAAATACGAGCAGTAATTTCATTTCTCCTTTTGTTTCTTAATACTCCTATCTTGATTATAGTTTTTATATCATTAAACGTTCTTTTAAGTTAATCAAGATCAAACATGGAGCCAATTGCCGAAGTGGTATGTTATTATAAACTCTAGCTTTTTATTGCAGATTTTACTAGTGTGTTTTTTTTAATATGATTGTTTAATTTAAATTGATTTTAATGTTATTATGAGATCTAACCTTTATTCAACTAATGAAATTATTTTTTCATCTATTAGAGTTGCCTTCTGAAAATAGATGTGCAATGTGATGAATGCAAATTCTGTTTGATGCGGGTGCTCGGTTCAATTTCGGGTAACAACTATTATTATTTTTATGTGTGTTTAGTTTTGATTTTGGACGATTATTCTTTTTTTTTTTCATGTAATTTTCCCTAAATTTGGAACAAAAGAACTAACATGAAGATTTATACTCCTAATATGAGTTTAATTTTTCATTAAAGTTTGGGGCACATTATTGCTATAAAGCCAAATATCTTATACGAGTACTCCCTTTATCTTTCATACTATCTCTCACTCCAAAATAAACTTTTCAATAGATTAAGAAAAAAATGTTTAGTTGAGATTCATTTAGAAACGAGAGAATTAATATGGGCCACCCAATCAATCAATAAATAGGAATGGGATTTTGATTTTGATTTTTGTGAGAAACAAAAAAAGAAATTAAAAAAATTATTTTGGAATGAAAGGAGTTTTTCTTCCATTCCCTTTCATCATCTCATCTTTATTCCGCTTTTTTACACTTTATTGATTCAAGAAATTCAAAAATATAAAAAAGAGTAAGTTTAAAATGACACTATTTCATTCACTTACATCAATTTATTTGGGATATCTCTGGAACATCGTTTGTAAAAATGACGGTTCCTACCCTTTAACCCTCTCCCTAACCACCCTCCAGCCCCCCTCCCTCCCACCCCCTCCCTACCGTAGCAGTATACCCCCAGGGTAGGGAGGGGGTTCAGGGGTGGGGCTGATGGGGGTTTAGGGGTACAAATCATCATTTTTACAAACGGTGAGTCCAACCCAAATATACAAAGTTATCGATCCATAGTAAAACTGTTGGTATGCGCGTGCGTGAAATGTGAGAGCATTGCAAGAACTTCATACTATGCAAATGAAAATAAGATCACTGATACGCGCAAGAATTTCATATTATGCATGATCGTGCCATTGCAAGAAGTTCAAATGTAATGTGTGTAAAACTATTGTTGTGTATGTGAACTTTGTCAAACTATATTGTGTGTAAAACTATTGTTGTGTGTGTGTGTGTGAATTGTAATATATATAGGGGTATATTCTGTGGACATTGATGCTGAGAAAGGGACAGCAACAGTGGTGGGAGAAGTGGAACCAAATGCTCTGTTAAGGGCACTGTCAAATTCCGGAAAGCATGCGGAGTTGGTCCGAGTCACCCTAAGGGATCCAAAAATGAACAGAACCAACACAACCTATGGGACATCATCATATGCTTCTTCTTACTCTCCTTACTATAATAACCAAACCTATGACTATACCAACAGAAATAGTTATGCTTACAATCCCATTGAATACGACCCCTGGAGCACTAGAGGTATGTTTGGGTGATACGTAAGACAATAATGGATAATAAAATGAGTTTGAACAAATATCTAACTCGTGATTTTTTTCCCTAGATTACTCCCGGTACCAAACAGGCCCTAGGGCAGTCCCGGGATATGGCTATCATCAAGAAATGAATAGTTACGGGGGATACCTGCCACCTGCTCAATATGCGTCGTCATATCCACTTTCGAGGGTTGATGAGTATGTAGCAGCAGATGCTTCAGTACCTCTCTGCACTGTCATGTGATCTGCTTAATCTGCAGTTATATAAATACTAAACATTTGTCTTTGATCATTATTTTTTTACCTGATCAAAGACAAGATATGTTTAAGGTTTGTATTTCTAGGACTATTTTATATACATTGTGACTTGAACTTATTATGCTGATATATGTACTCCAGAAAACCAAGGCACTGTTTTTTTTTGTTTTATCTGGTGGCCATTATCAACTTACTGCAATGAATGTTGCCAATAGATTTTTATCCACAAGGTGTTCAACAATTTCAGCCAATTCACTCTATGAAAATGGATCCTAAGTTGTTTCAGATGGCAATAGCTGATTTTGCCCAAAATATAAATGTTGTAAATATCCACCTGTTTTTCTCTGCATAGAGTTTGCCATACGTTAGGTACCAGTCTGTAACCTAACTCTTAACGGGCATTTGACACTTTTTTATGTGTTAATAGCTCTAAGTATAAAATCTTAAATACTTATCAAAATCAGCATTACAATAAGTACAATTAGGGAATATATACTATTCAATACTATTCAACACATGAAGAGGGTATAATGTGGACCCAGCCAACAGCTCTAAGCCTTCAGAATATCAGATAAACAAGATACAGAAAAGGAGAAAACAACAAAAGGATCGGCTAAAACTCTTAGAGGAAAATATGAGGGGATATTCGTGCTTTCAGTTTCAATCTAGCGCAAACAAAATATTGTATCTTCTGCAACTGCATTGTTTATCACCTGGATTGCCCTCGCTGAAAGTGACATTGGCTTTGTAGTGGGTATGTTGCATTCGACTATTCGAGTCAGGAAACGTTGCAGGTTGCTTGAAGTGCCAGACTTTATATCTGTCATCGGTTTTTAAGCATTCACTGAGTCTGTTTCAACAATGATATTCTAGATCTTTCCAATCCTATCCAAATGGCCAAGATTTGAGTATGTGTGTTCATGGATCAGTTTCAGTACGCGTGTTCTTCGATAAGCTTCAGTTTGTTTTGGAAAATGCTAAACTGAAAACGAAACTGAATAACTTATGTCAATTATGGTCAGTTGTAAGCCAAAAATCAGATTACATAAGTTGAATCTAATTGCAAAAATCAATGTAAGCTCACAAAGGAAAGCATTTGTGACAATTTGGGTTTCGGAAGGTTCCGTTTCCAGTTGGTTTGCCATGAATCAACCCTCTAATTGCTGGACACTCCCCATTGGACCCTCCCATTTGTTTACAATGCACACTCCAGAGTAAGAGAATAGGAGATATCAACCACATCTAGTTTTGCTGTCATCATCAGTGTCCCTCGGAAGTACACGTGGCTTGGGTGAAAGCCCTTTAGCCAACATCTCCTCATCAAACTTGCGAGCCCTATCAATCATACCCTTCTGTACAAGAGCATCAATCAAGACATGATAAGCAGATTCATCTGGACTTAAACCATGCTGTTTCATCTTCTCCCATAGATCAAGAACTGGTCTAAGAAACCCCCATCTCCCAAACTTACTCATTAGCATCACATATGTATCCATCCTTGGTTTAACTCCTCTTTCAACCATCCTATCAAACATCTTCAGTATCTCTCTTGGCTTTTCAAAACATCTGAAGAAACAGTGGTAAGTAGTCACGTTTGGTTCACAACCCTTCTTAGACATTAGACCGAACACCTTGTGTGCATCATCAAACCTCATATTTTCACACAAAAGCTTTAAAATTATGTTGAATGTTGTCACGTTTGGTTCACAACCCAGTTCAATCATCTCTTTGAAAAGCTTTACTCCCACATCAACTCCGTCTGAGATCCCAACGGCTTGAATGGCAGTGTTATAGGCCACAACATCCACTTCAATCCCTTTCTTCTTCATCTCCTTGAAGAGCTTCACAGCTTTCCAAGGCTTCCCTCTCTTGCACTGCACATCCATGTAAATGGAATAGGAAAAAAGATCCTTTTCCGCTCCCCTTTTATCCATTTCTTCCCAAAACTCCTTACATTTCCCCCACCAGTTCATTTTAAAGAACCCGCGAAGGATCATGTTATGGATTTTGGTGTCAAGACTCAAGAATCTCTGATTGTCTTTCCCGTTCCCAAAGCACAACTCTTGAGCTTCAATCACATGTTTATACTCACACAAAGCATCAACCAAATTGGAGAAGGAAACACTGTCTTTCAAGTTGAAATCGTCCAACTTATCAAACGTATCAATGGCTTCATTGATAAGGTGAGCTCGAACATACCGATTGAACATGACTCGAAAAGTAGTGTGATCTGGCTTGGAATCTAACGAATTTCTCATTTTATATATAAAACTCCAAGCCGTTTCGAACTCGAAATACTTACCCAGAACGCCGATGATCTGATTGTACGTCGCCGTGGTGTGTTGGAACCCCCGTTGAGATTCGACCCAGATGAAGAACTCCAAAGCTGATTTCCAGTCATTGCTGTAGCAGGACAGAGTTTCCGCGACTAGGATCGGGTCAAACTCCTCGGGATCCCGGTTGGATTCCGCCTTGAAAGGAGGTTTATGATTTGAATTCCGGATTCCAGAGTGATTAGTGGATTTCCGGTGAAGATATTGGTTTCTCGTCAGCGAAGTGTGATATAGATTTAACGATTGAAGGTGAGATATGAGAAGATGCGATGATGAGATCGGAATACGAGAAGTAATGGAAGAAAGCATTTTAATCCTCATCGTAATCGCATCGCAGGAGACGACGACGGGAAAGTAATCGGCGCCGGGAGAAAATCTTGTAAAGACCGGCCGGCTTGCTCGTCTGTAGAGTAGTCAGTGCTAACTGCTAACGTACTCACTCCTCCCGTAATTCAGCTTTGTCCTATCTTTATTTGCCGTTTTTCATTAAAATTGTGTAATTTTTATAAATTTTATGTTTAATATTTTTCATCTCAAAATTGATTATAAATTTTTCACTCATCTCTTAATAACTTTTATTTATTAATGTATTTTTATTAATTATTTAATATATATGTAGTAAAATATTCATGTCATTTCTTCTTTTATACTCCCTCCACTCTTGAGTACTTTTATCCATTTTTTAATCTTTCGGTCAAAATTAATAAATTTTGACCTCAAATTAAATAAAGCGATATTAGATATTGATACAAAAATATTTTTATTATATTTATTATATTACATATTTTTAAAATATTATTGTATCTGATGGGTAATAACCCAAGGATACCACCCGGTTGGTTCACCGAACAGCACGCGTCTTTTTCAGCCCGGGTTATTTGACCGGTTGGATGAGGAGACCAGATGCCAATACCCGAAGATTTACTCAAGTGCACCTGGTGGGCCGGTCAGCCGCCTGACCGGTTGAATAATCAGAGACGTGCTTGACGTGCTTAGGATTATTATAAATACCCTTAAAAGCCTCATTTGTGAGGCATGTTTGAATTAACCTACACGGCTTGTATTTGTAATAACTCCTATTATCATTAATAACAAATCGGGTTACAGGTGATTCCACCTACAACCCTTCCGATTACTCACACTTAATATTTGCGTGGTAATTTACACTATCAAATTGGCGCCACCCGTGGGACTTATTACAAAAAAGTCATGGCCAGTAATCAGGAAACCGTGATCTCACAAATTTCTACTCCCGCTGAGAATGTCATTTCATTCCCGGGAGGAAGTTCCCAACCGTCAAGCCAGGTTCCTACCCCCATCATCACCATTCCACCACCTATCCCATTCACTTCCCCCGTGAACCCTGTTCTCGTTTTTCCTTCAAATTTCCCCGGACCCCTTGATCCAATGTACAGCCAGGCTCTTCAGAATTTTGGACATTTCATGTCCATGTTCCAGCAGCCGGGAGGGTTTTCACTTTTCAATCCGGGATTGTATCCACAATCCTCGCCTCAAACTAACGTCATTCGCTCGAACGTTCCGACAAACCTAATCGGGGAGATGGATAAAGCTGGTCCATCCCGGTCTAGAAGGAGCCGGTCCCGTAGGTCACAGACAAAGGTGACCTCGGACGGGGATGTGCGTTCAGTGCACAGCAAAGACGAGGATTGGGACGTCCCCCAGGCGATCAAGAAGTTGAAGGGAAAGGCAGTTCAGCCAGAAGGATCTAGGAGGTCGGCCTTTCTGAGACTTGGCCATGATGGCCGAAATCAGAACCGGTCAGCAAAAGAGCGGCTTGGGGTAGAGACCATTCCAGCTAGTGCCTTTAATCGTGCAGGGAGAGGAGCCGGACGACCTGGTCAGACCAGGCGAACGGAGCCATCCCCACGCGATGAGCCCCAGCACAGCCGGGCACCACGAGAGGAAGAAGCCGAAAGCCACCCCAGGCACACGACCCGTTCACACGTTGAGCAACCTCGGGATCGTGTGGGCCGGGTCGAGGCAC